ATGGATTGAAGCAAGCTGCATGACAATGGTACAAAAAGTTTCGACTCTTTTATGATGAGTCATGGTTTTACTAGAACCACTACAGACCACTGTGTTTACCTTAGAAAGTCATCCTTATTATTCTCATGTTATATGTTGATGATATATTTATCGTTGGTTAAGATGCTAATTTGATTGACAGGTTGAAGAAAGAATTGAACAAGGTTTTTGACATGAAGGACTTAGGGGTTGCAAAACAAATTTTGGATATGGCAATCAAGCGTTTAGAAAGAACAAAAAGTTGTGGCTATTACAAGAAAAGTACAATTAGAAGGTACTTGAAATATTCAACATGAAGAATGTCAAGCCAGTCAGTACATCATTAGCTAGACAGTTCAAGTTGAGTGCCAAGTTATCTCCAACCAGCGGTGAAGAGAAGAAGAAAGTGGATAAGATCCCATATGCAGCAGCCGTAAGGAGTTTGATGTACTCTATGATGTGCACAAGGCCTGACATAGCACATGCCACCAGTGTAGTGCGTAGATACTTGACAAATCCTGGTAAGTAACATTGGGAAGCTATAAAATGGATTCTAAGGTATCTAAGAAGCATATCTAAAGTTTGTCTATGTTTTGGAAACTCATCACCCTTGGTGGAAGGCTATACAAATGCGGATATGGCAGAAAATCTTGATAGAAAAAAGTTTACTTCGGGTTACTTGTTTACTTTTGCAAAAAGAGTCATTTCTTGGCAATCAAAGTTGCAAAAATGTGTCGCACTTTCGACTACAGAGGCAGAGTATATTGCTGCTACAGAAACCTGTAAGGAAATGCTATAGTTGAAGCGTTTTCTTATGGAGTTGGGTTTGAAGCAAAAGGAATATGTAGTTAGATGTGACAGTCAAAGCACTATTGATCTGAGTAAGAATGCTACATTCCACTCTAGAACTAAGCACATTGACGTGCGGTAACATTGGATTCGAGATGTCTTAAAAAATGAGCTGATGAAGATTTGCAAAATCCATATCTATCGAAATCCATTATACATGATGACGAAAACAGTGCTAAAGGAGAAGCATGAGTTATGCAGAGCTTTGGCAAGCATGGGTGCCATGTGAGCATCCAGTATGGGGGAACCCTCCTCATGGATCTGGAGGGAGAGTTTGTTGGGTGATACCTTGAGGGGTCCAGCCCATAAGGAATAAAAGGAAAAGAAATGACCCAATAAAAATAAGAAAATGTTAGAGAGAGAGAGAGAGAACATTGGGGTGTTTAAAAGACAAAACCCATTGCGTTTTTTCAACACAGTAGAGAAAGAGAACAGGGAGAGGACAGCAACTTCCATCCACCAGCGATTTCTATGAGCGATCATCTCCACTAGCAAGCATCTTCTACTACTGAGTACCATTCATTCACATAAACAGTTGTGTGCTCTGTGATTGCATCTCCAAGCATTGGAAGAGCATCTTTGGGTTTTTTGAGGTGGGAAAGGGACTATTCTTTGGAGTTTGTGAGGTAACTCTGTATCTTCTCCAAGTTACTGTTGTTCTCTCATTTGATTGTAAACCTTAAATTTTGGGCAAAAACTTGAGAATAAACTATATTGTAACCCTCATTTGATTTTAGTGGATTCCTCTATCAGATTTGCCCTATGGTTTTTCCCTTCACATTGAAGGGTTTTCCACATTAAATCTTGTGTTGTGATTGTGCTTGGTAGAACTTTCTCTTTCTTGTGATTTGTGATTTTATTATACTTGGCACTTAACAAATTTGCCCATTTTTTGGTATTTACACAAACACACATTGTGGGATATATGGTTTTACCTTTGATTCACACATAGCAGGGAAGGGCATTGCTTCCCAACACAAAATGGGATAATTACAATATAATTATGAGCTTAGTATAAACTGGTGCAAAAATTTCAAGGCCATGCCATACAAATAATTCTCACGAATAACTATATAGAGTGATTTACCTCAACTAAAATTATGTCTCTTAAGGTGAAATGGCAAAGTACACAACGTCATGGTTAGCATAATTTATTTGAGAAGTGTTGATAAAGTTTTACGTTGATTATCTATCTAACACAACACACCTTCTTTTTTCGAGCTTGGGATGGGTTAACACAAAATTAAGGTCCTCACCCTTCTTAGACTAGCTTAGCATAATTTATTTTCTTTATGTATTTATCAAAATAAAGTAGACAACTAATTAAAGTAAAAAAGATGTCACAAGCCATTTAAATGGCCCAGATCCTTCTACTCCATCAATTCCCTTGTTGATGTCAATTTGAACAGTTGGATTGCTCAATTGAAGAGCTTGAATTAGTCATATGACTTTTACATCTTATAGATTTCGCTTTGTTTTTCTTAAATTGATAATACATAATGTATATAATTTTTGCCATCATTCTCTATATGTCACTCAAGAAACACTATTTTGAGGTTCTCCTTGTCTTACTCATCCAAAAACTACTCCGTAGTTAATATGGGGTGCTAAACATCATGCCAAGTTTAAATAGTTTAAGTTTAGATAATTTACTATAAAGTGTTACATTAATAGAAAAATATACAATAAAACTGATACATGGAGGTCAAACGTTAAAGTTGGCCATTCGATGCGAAATTGGGCAGCTATGTTCGTTCTATTAATCAGGCTTAAAGTTTAAAAGTAAATTTTTTTAAATTTGTAATACACCCTAATTATTGAATTCCATGACAATAAATTATTGTGAACTACTTATACCAAAGATAAATGTTCTTGAAATATATAATCCTACAATAATAAAAAAGACAACTTGAAGTGAAAAAGATCTGGCCGGACCTAGAAACGGTCCTATCCTTCATCAAGCCTTCTACTAGTTCTAGAAATTTCTTCGCTCTAGTTAATATCTACTTGAAAAAATGTTCAACTTGAAGAACCTAATCCTAGATTGCTCACTTTTTAGTCTTGATAATGAGGGTGCGGTTTGTATAGAGCCGAGGCTCTAAACAATCAAATTAGAGCCCACCTTCAAATAGTGTCGAGAAATATGGTTTCAATATTGGAAATTTTTGTAATATATTTTCATCTTTAATTATAAATTTTAAATTTTCAAAAATAGAGTAGATCAAGCAAATCTATGAAAACTAGAAAATTTTGAAAATTGATGGTCAAAAAGTGTGTTACAAGATGCACTATTTCCAAAACTTGAAATCTATTTTTTCTCATGTCCATCCATCTTGATGTCAAAATGATCAATTTGATGATATTTAGGCATCCAAATAACCTCTTCTAGTGAAATTTTTGAGGTAGGCTCTAATTTGATTGTTTAGAGCCTAGGCTCTATATAAACTTTTCCCTTTGATAATATATATAATGCTCTAATGCCGATTTATCAAAATTGTGATTCTTGTCAAAGAAATTTTATGGGACACGGTTGTTAGAGAAAGATCTTCAAGCGGTAGGAAAGATACAAGAAAACAAATAAAATATTTGAGATAGAAAAACCTGTTTTTCTTTCCCATTTTTTCAAAGGGTGTGGTTTGTATAGAGCCTAGGCTCTAAACAATCAAATTAGAGCCTACCTTCAAATAGTATCTAGAAATGTAGTTTCACTATTGGAAATATTTGTGACAACCTTAAAATATATTTTCATATTTATTTATAAAAATTTAAAGCTTCAAAAATAGTGTAGATCGATAGATTTATAAAAACTTGAAAATCTTGAAAATTGACAGTCCAAAATTGCATTACAAAATACACTATTTCCAAAACTTTAAATCTATTTTTTTTTCATGTCCATGCATCTTGATGTCAAGATGATCAATTTGAAGATATTTGAGCATCAAAACAACCTCTTCTAGTGAAATTTTTGATGTAGGCTCAAATTTGATTGTTTAGAGCCTCAACTCTATATAAACTTTTCCCACATTAAAATTAACTTCTCTTTTTTTCACATTGTAAAGGAACTATCCTGCAGTTTTTCAAGTGATCGAACAGCACAAACATAATTAAAAATAAAACAAGGTCCAAGGTTGTTAGGATCAAAACTGTACTATTGATTTTGTTCTATTAAATCAAAATCTAAACTTTATATAGCTTATATTTTTTATTTTTTATACACTACTTATATTTGTAAGATTAAAATTATATACATTTAAGAACAACTGTACTGTTAAATGCTGGCAAAATATTTGTAAGATTAAAATTATATACATTTAAGAACAACTTACTGTTAAATGCTCGCTAAAAGAAATACAAGAGACTTCCTATTTTATAAAAACAGATTTTTATTTTATTTTTTCCTATAGAGGAATGACCATGTAGAATCGCTTCTACTCAATTAGTGTTTTAAAACACAAAATTGGATTTTGGATCAAACCAAGATCGGCCAAATCAACAATACAGACCGGTTAAACTGGTAAAAATTTAATTTAAAAACAAACAAAAATAAAAGGGGGGACCGGGGATGGGACCCAAATCACACACCCAACAAACCCTATCCAGTTTTGCGATTCCAACGTGGGTCACTGGGTTTTAAAACCCTGAGATCATTATGGTAGAGAAGAGACCACATAACATCATCCACTCTATGGGTGGGGCATGTCGAATAGAATGGGACCCACCAAGGCCCAAAAAGCACAGTTTCCACTCTTATCGACATCGTCCATCCATTAGTTGGATGGCATTTGGCTTGGCCTCAATGGTAGTCTGCGTAAAACCAGATCTAATTGAGCGTTCACCTTTTTGCATATATCAGTCATCATGATACTTCGAGTTCCAACCTTCAAGTGTTCCACATCCAAGCTTGGGACCATTCACACGAAGACTTTTAAGAAGTTTTTCTTCTTTCCAATTTCCAGCTTTCATGGGTGGATAAGCATGAGTTTCAAACCTGCAACTTAGTTGATACACACGTCACTAGAATCTAAAATTATTGGCTCTTAACAAAATCGATTTCTTGGACATCTCTATCACAGTTAGGAGATGAGGAAGTATAAGTGCCTCACTATTACATTGATTAACCAGAAACTATACTATGACATATAATCTTAACTTTGATGAATCAAAACTTGAATCTCAACAATGAGCTCCTCTGGAGCAAGTTGTAATCTGATGCATAACACAAAACACTTCAGCAAGTGGCCACAAGGATAACAGAAAAAATAGCACAAATTCAAGCCATAACCACCAAGAATCCCATACAACCTATAAACACATCTGACAAATGTAACCGATTCAAGCAGTAACTGCTCAGAATCCCATGTATTGCATATCATGGCGAAACGACCTCCCATGGGTGCCGTGGGGCCAATGAGGCAGAGCCAAAACTAAAAAATCATACTATTGCTAATGGGAATATGACATATACAAAACATACATACCCATCATTCCAATACACAAGCATGAGCATATGGCTTATCCATCCATGCTAAAGTAATGCTGGGTTTCCAAATGGATTGTTTTGATGATTTGGATTTGGCGGTAAAGCTCCAAAAGTTGTATCACCAAAAGGGTTTGATGGGCCAAACTGTTGTTGATGATGGTAGTTGGGTTGATGACCAAATGGACCTGATGATGTCATACCCATCATCATCTGTTGCTGTTGCTGATGATGAGCCATGGCGGCCATTTGAACAGAAGGTGGAGGTGGTATGTTGTTTGCTATAGCAAATGGATCATGGGATTCAAATGGATTTGGTGGGGGTGCTCCGTAAGTAAATTGTTGTTGTTGTTGTCTATAGACTGCATCTTCGTAGAGACTCTCCAATGTGAGTTTGTCAAATCCGCCGGCCTGTCACATTTAGTAGGGAATCAGAAACTGCAGTTTCTCTAAGAAGAATTAACAGAAAAATCCCGTTTGTTTACAATTTTCTAAAGTAGGTACTTAACTACACTTTTTATAGTGAATATTCCATCCCACTTCTGTTCTTCGTCGATTATCTGATGAAATTCAAATTTTGGACCTCCATACTTCTCACCAAAATACACTTGAAAAATATTAAAAAATGTAATCAATTTAAATAACATGGCCAAAAAACCCCCAGAAATTTCAAACATTTAGGGGTATTTATTTATTTTAAAATACATTTTAGCTTTTTTTTTTAAATGTGAGATGGAGAGAAGTATCAATTCCCTAAGTTTGAGCTTAATTTGATTAATAGAACAGAAAATAAAATTAAAATATGATATACAGTGTCAAATCGCGAGACCTAAGCATTTTTCATGGCCCAAATACCCCTAGAAATTTCAAACATTTAGGGGTATTTATTTATTTTAAAATACCTTTTTGGTTTTTTCTTAAAAAATATGAGATGGTGAGAAATATCAACTCCCGAAATTTGAGCTTAATTTGATGGATAGAAAATAAAATAAAATTAAAATATGATATACACTGTCAAATTGTGGGACCTAAACATAAAATGCTAACAATATACATGACTAAACCCCCCCACCCCTTCTTCCTTCTTTTTTTTTTTGTAAGGTTGGGGGGGGAGGGTCCCTCCCTCGCTCTCTAACATAGACACATAAAAAACCCACCCACCTGCCAACATGCAAACACATACACAAACACAAACAGTATTCAGAAAGGACAGTTGTTCACAATTACAACACAAATGCAAAAGCATTCCTCATAGGAGATCTGTGACATACAATCAGGTAAAAGCTACTAGGAAGAGAAACCTTCCCCACTCTAAGAAATGCAGGCAGAAAAAAACCAAAAAAAAAAGAAAAAGGAAGGAAAAAGCTACCAATATTTCGCTGTTCACTGGTCTTTAGGACATAGGATGCAAAATCATGACCACAAGAAGCATTTCATTACAGTTCACAATAAAATAAAATAATAGACAGTCTCTAGTCACATTGAACATTAATAGTTGCAATAAACAGCCACTCTGTATTAAAAAAATCAGCCGCCAAGCCACCTAGATGACCAGGAGGCACCCCCAAAGTGCACAGGCCTAGGCAGGCTGCCTAGCTGTTCGAGGTGCCTAGACGCCTGGATCCACCTAGGAGCCTAGGCGGCCCCTCGAGCCCTTTGACTTGAAGGTGAAAAAACAACCTCTGCCAAGGGCAGTTTACATAATTTTCTTCCCATTTTAAAGGGGAGAAAGGGTTTTGGGGGGCCATTCCACGCACCACCCACCCAAATATATATATAGGATTATTCTAGAATACACCATACTTAGAATTTAGTACTTCAAAATCTTTGACCATAAAATGCCCTTACTAATATAAAATTACATTAACAGTGGCTTATTTGAACATTTTGAGAAGAGCATATTTATAATTTTAAATTACTTTCAAAGTCCAATCATCATTAAAAAAGTCAAAGGAATCTTTTTAAATTTGTAATTGAGTTTTGGAGGGATTTTAAAGACCAAAATACCCTTTCCAAAATACATGAAAATAGCAATGGCCAAAAGTTATTTGTGAACATGTATGGGCATTTTATGGTAAAAAAAGATTTAGTACTAAATTCTAAGTTCACTATTACAATGGTGCAAGGTTTTTAAAAATCATTGATCCGGATTGGAATCGCCCGATCTGGGTTTGGAATCGTTGGAGCCAATCCCGTTCCCTCCATATACATATATATAAGGTTGCAACCTTAAAAATGTAGAATTAAGGTGCACCTCAAAAATCTATCATAAAAGGTTGTTTTGATGTTGGAAACCCCTCTAATTGATCATCTCGGTATTGAGATGTATGAATATGAAAAGAAAAAAACATTTCGAGTCCTAAAAATAGCGTATCTCGCTACACATTATTTGGACCATCCATTTTCAAGAGTTTATAGATCTATTTGATTTGAACCATTTTTGGAATTTAAGATTTTATAACTAGAGATGACCAAGATTCTCAAGCCATCCTAAAAAATTTTGAAACCAAAATTATATTTAAGATAAAATTTGGAGGTGCGCCTTAATTTGATTGTTGAAGGTTGGAACCTTGCACATACCACACCCATATATATATATATACACACACACACACACACACATTTCGAGTGACAAAATTCAACATTCAACATTTTTTAGATATTTTGATGATTATTTTTTTTTTTGAACTTTTCGATTTTTTACACAACCGAAAAGCATTCAACCCTATTCTTTTTGTGGCTGGAAGTGGTTGTGAAAGAAGACTCTTGGCAACCCATGGTTCATGATTCAAACCAAGATCTATTGCATTTTAAAAGGTTAGTATATTTTAAAAAAAAAATTGTTTAGGGTATATTAATTTTATTTTTATTTTTTTCCTTGATTGGTTTTTGTTCTTGTATTTCTTTTTCAAGTTCATGTTTGGAAGTTTGGGTTTGTGACCCATATTGAAGAATGGGTTTTGGTTTGCGTTTAATGGCATATTACTCAATGTTACCACAATATGAATAAACTTAAACCAAAATGATTTTTTTCTAGTTCAATAGTCTTAAATTTGTCTCTTGACTGAAATGAGAATCTTTTGATTTTGTGTTCTAATCATTTCTTAAGGTTCGGTAACTTTGTGTTCTAAGCATAAAAGTCCTTCTTGATATCCCTCTTTATGTTCAAGTAGTTCATTCGTCTTCATCCTAGAGAAGGAACTAGAGTGCACTTCTGATTAGACCTTTGGCTAGGCCACACTCCACTAAGGGACCTCTTCCCCTCCCTCTACTCTCTCGCCTCTAATAAAGCTTCCATTGTTGCAGAGGAGATGGTTGCCTCTGGGGATCGCAGAGTCTGGAACCCCTCTTTTAGACACCACCTTTGAGAGGAGGAAACAGGGCAATTCATATCACTTTCCGCTTCTCTTCATTCCAACTTCATCACTCTCTCAAGGAGGGATACCCTTGTGCGGCATCTCTCCCCCTCTGGTTCATTTACGATGGCTTCCTTCTATAAAAGACTTATTCAACCACTACCTTCCCGCTCAACCCAATCTCGATTCTCTTTAAGGTCTGGTCCACCATTGCACCGCATAAAGCATAGGCATTCAACTGGATTGCTCGCTCCCAAAGAGCCCTCACAATAGACCAGCTTCAAAGGAAAGGGATTCCAATCCCCAACAGGTGCGCTTTGTGTCACTGTGAGGAGGAAACGAACCCCCGCCTGTTCATTCACTGCAGCCTAGCTTTCGACCTATGGAGTCAAATCATCCAGTTGTTTGGCCTCTCATGGGTCATTCCACCCTCCATTCCGGCTCTCATCTCTTCGTCTCTCATTTCTCATTGGCCAAACGCAAGTAGAATCCTTTGGAGGGCTTCTATTGCAGCTACTATTTGGGTCCTTTGGCTGGAAAGAAACTCCAGGATCTTTCAAGGCCTCAAGAGTGAAGTTCCAGCCCTCTTCCACAAGGTTACTTCCTTAGTAGTCTTTTGGGCCTCCAATCATAGGGCCTTTGCCGGGGTTTCAGCTAATAATGTTCTTAGCCAATGGGAAAACATCCTTCACCTCCAACCCCATCGGGTCTCAAGACCCAACAACTGGCTGCCACCACCGGAAGACACTATCAAGCGTAACTTCGACGGATGCTCCCTGGGTAACCCAGGCCTAGCGGGAGCTTGAGGAGATTTCCGAGATCAAAGTGGCAACATCCAGGCCACTTTTTCAGAGCATTTAGGCCATGTTGATTCTCAGTACGTTGAATCCATGGTACTATTGTTGGGACTAAAAAGATTTGACCAGTCTTGGGGATCTCAATTGTTTGTCGAAGGGGATCCCAAAAATATCATTTCCTGAGCTGCCGGTAACGCCCCCCCTCCTTGGTACCTATCCTCTAGTTTTTATGAGATTGCATTTACTTGCAGGGATATAGTCGTCTCCTGAATGCATATCTGGAGGACGTTGAACGAGTTTGCAGATCTTCTGGCTATGGTGCTAGGGCCCAAGCAGATGCCCCTGTATTCGCTGCATTGTTCATACTTTCGTCGCTGGTCCATCTCCTTTTTTGTTCTGGACCTCTACGGGTGCATTGTATTTTGCTTTTCCTGTGTACATCCTTATAAGCCCCAACTTGTGTATAGGGTCACAGAGTAGTGATCTTTTTTTTTTATCGAAAGACCCTGCCTGTGGGTGCGCTCTCGAGTCTCTTTCTTGTTCTCCGATGTTGTTTTAGTTGTACAATTGTTAACCTCACTCAAAAAAAAAAATTTCAGGGACTTAGACGATGATTTCTATTTGTATTCTGGAAAAAAGTGATGTCTAACATGCTAAGATCAATTTTGGGCATTTGGTTTCCAACCACACCCCCCAAACACCATTTACAGGGCCTATAAGTAGGTGCACCCCCCAACAGCCTAGGCACCGCCTAGGCAGCGGTGCCTAGGCAGCCTGGACTGAATCCAAGTTTTACAGCACTGGCTTCGGTAAAGGTTGTAGTCAATATTCTGTTATTCTGAAAGAAGTTAGTGAAAGCTGCCTCTAGAGCTTCTGTAGGCCCATTCCTAGGTAACATTTCTGGTTTTGAAGAAGATGGTGGGTTTATGACAAGCTTCAGAAGAAAAATAGATTTCATAAAAAAGTAAATGAGGGATTGAATCCCTAAAAAGAGAATTCGCAGGATCAAAATAACTGAAATATTCCTTGGGAAGATCAGATCTAGAAATAATTAACAAAAATAACTTCCTGAGGACTACAACTCACAAAATCGATAATACAGCAGACATAACATGTATATTCATACCAATCCAAGTCTATTGATATTCGCACAAATATATTTGCAGTGTGTGTGAGAATTGTGCCAGCCAATAATCTATGGCACCATAATCAATACGATTTTGTCAGTGCTCAAAAAAAAAAAACACTACTATTTTGTCTGCAGCCATATGTAGCAAAATTGATGACAGTCCAGTAGTTTTTCCAAGAAAACCGCAAACTACAAATTTTTGTTGTTTGCTTTTGTGCAGTTCATTTGTGTATGAATACAAGTCTAGAGGGAATTACAGATTGGCGAGCAACGATTTTCAGTTACAATTTAGGCATGACAGGGAATTACAGATTTGAGGGTTCACATATCTGGGATACCACCCCCATGGTTGGTCAACCCAATCCTTATCTTTCATGTGTCAAGATTCACGACCATGGGTGCCATGTGACATAAGAATCCAGGAAGTTCTCCAATATTCTGGGGACCCTGGACTGATCTGAAATTCTATAATCTTTCCAAAATTAGGCTTCTCTCCTCTCATATGTCGTCCCTTAAAAAATGTTTTTCCACTCTTTCTTTTGTTTTAAAACTTTATCTCATTTCCTTCTCCGGTCACTTTATTATTAATGGTAACTTATCTAACGTTATTAGTGGGCTACTTGAAGCCCAGTCATTAGGAACAACAACCATATTGGACAAGATTAGTGAGATAGCTAAATACTTTGGAGACCTCCAATAAGTGCAAAGAAAGGCCGCTGGGGAGATGAAACTTGTTGAATAGAGAGGGTGACTCGAGTCAAACTTTGAGCATGAAGTATTCATTGCCATTTAGTAATGTGGATTACACATCTTGACACTTCTACTAATACTCTAAGCAAGAGAGTAAATTACATACATACTAACATACATAAATACATGTTTACATACATGCATGCATATATATCATCTGTGTGTTGGGGGGATATAAATTTTGTCAGCCTCTCAGCCAGATTGAAGGAAAGGGGACGACCTGGATGACCAAGAACGACAGACATTTTCATTTTTAGTCCTTGTCAAATTCTTTTTATTTTTATTCAGAGCATCTAGATGGGTCCAACTCGTGCAAAATTTGAGGTTCATCACATCCCTACTCTTTTCATAAAAAGGATGCAAACACTCAATTCTGGCTGTTTGTCTCTCCTTCAATCTGGGCTTCCGAGCTATACCCTACAAGCCATCAGCTCAGATGATCTTTTTCCATATATGTGTGTGTGTGCATCTGTGTTTGTGGTCCAGCCTGGCCATATAATTAAGTGGTTTAGGCCCCAAGAAACATATTTAGGTTTTTTGTTTCCTGAAAATTCCCTTTTTATCTTGCAAACAATTCCAATAAAAGAAAATACAGCTTTTAATATCTAAAAACCCTAGATCATTGCTCCTCAAATGGATCGTCCGAAGTTTATTTGAGGGTTTGATTTGGAGTATTTTTGTATTCCATATCAATTTTTTTTAATGGATATGATCTTCAGGGTGATCTGAAAATTTTTGGATAAAAAAATGTTCCCCTAACAACATTTAGGGCAATGAAACCGCCCTACTTATAAGGTCAGGCTAGACCACTCTAACACTCATGTATAGGCCTTTCAGGGGCATGAACAATAGACAATAACCTACATACCTCTATATGTATGTGTATATATAACCTTGGAAGGCCCAAAATTCCTTATGGACGCTATGGACCACAAAGGAGAAGTGAAAATGCAGAGCATTAAACAAATATCAAAGAGAAGTTAAAAACAAATATCCCTTTAGAAGAAACAGCAGAAATCTATAACAAAATATTGGTGAGATCAAAGAGTTAAAAGAACCCCCTTTCCAAATTTACACAAAATCCTATAACATGGTGAGCAATAGAAGGTCCATATTTTCATCAGAAAGAGTGCCAGAAACCCTACCACTTAACTAGTTATAAACCAGGAATTATTAGATGATGCAAAAGCACCATTTATGCATTCAATATGGTGTGCAGCATCAAATGATTAAATAAACATCATCAGAAAAATTACAGAAATCACTTTAAATTTTGGTTCAACTATTAATGTAATTCAAGGTGTCCCAACATTTGACACAAATATGAAAAATTAAAAGGCAGGAAGGACAAACCAGTTTGCTTTCGGTCAAATTTTTATCATTGCTACTGGCAGTGGTAACCAGGGCAAGTTCCCATCCTGTAGGATCCAGGCCCTTTGTTTGTGCTCCGTGAGAGTCACTGACTGCATCACTACCTGCTATGAAAATCCATTTCTATAGTTTCAAAGCACACACATAGAAAGTGGAATAATAATCATAACTATAGGAATTCAGTGATAATAAGGGTCATTTCCATTCAACCAACAAGTTCCACAGAAATGTAGAGAGTGGGGAGTGCTGGAGCATGACAGGATTAGATGCTAGGTTCCATCCTATCTTCATCACTGTCCAGCCCATGAAGGTGATGGACCTCATGACCATATTTCTACTATGGTCATAAGGTCTACGGAATACTTTTCACTTAGACCCCCCAAAACCTTGGACTTGCCCATAAGAACCCCACCTTAATTTCTCTCTTTCAGGAACCATAGGGATTACTAGAAAGGTTTCACCAATCCCTTCGTGTACCCTTTTACTTTTTTTTGTTTTCAAAAACTTCCCCCAATCAATATTTTAAACCAAACTGAGTCCGTTCCATGTTAAACCCCATTTCACTCCAAAACAAGCCCCCAAATTCATCATTCTTTTAAATCCAACTGAGTCCATTCCATTTGAACACTATTTCACTCCAAAACGAGCCCCCAAATTCGTTGCTCTTCCTCCCTACATGTAAACTCACACACACACACACACACACTCTCTCTCTCTCTCTCTCTCTCTCTCTCTCATGCATGCGCGTGCACACACACACGAGTACACCAGGGTGTACTGTTCTCCATCACAAATCCATCGCTTTTTTGGTCTATACAGTAGTAGAAGGCGAAGAGATTTTCTTTGACTTGCTTTTGTCTTTTTTTCATGTGGTTCTTGGAAATTCCATTGAAGAATTGAATTTTTATTTGGCACTAGTGGCTTATTTGCATGACTGCCCCATGAGTTCTAGTTCCAGTATCCATGTGAGACTGTCAAATTGAATCTCTTATTTTGATTGAAATTTCAATGTACTTTTCTGTTGGACTTTCTTATTAACAATTTTGATATTAACAATTTTGGACATGCCCAATAGGGGGGAATTGTTAAGTGCAGTTCCACATTTTTGAAAGACAATGCTCCTTTTTCTTTTTTTGAATTTCCTTTCCTACTTTTCCATTGCAATGAGTTTAAAAAAGAGTCTCTAAGTTGAGTTTGATTTCAGATAGGCACATGAAATTGCATAAGCATCCTTCTTGCAGTGAAGTTTGAATGATTATCCAAAATATTTATTTGCCGATTTGTATAAATCCTTCCAAATTGGAAAAGCAAACTCCTATGTTTTTTATCTGGCTTTTTTTTGTTCTGTATTTCATGAAGGACATCACATGGCAATACAGTTAGAACATTGCCAAGCACCTACAAGATGAGGGACCATGGTCTATTTTGTTCGTGGATGACATAGTTTTGATCGATGAGACTAAAGGCAGCATCAATACAAAGTTAGAACGTTGGAGGGATGTTCTAGAATCTAAAGGTTTTAAAAAATAGGACTAAGACAAAATATATGAAATGCAAGTTTAGTAACAATACAAGTAGAAACGAGGAAATAATTACGATTGATGGTCAAGAAATTCCAAAAGAGATAGTTTCTGATATCTAGGGTCAATAATCCAAGAGAATGGAGAGATTGAGGAAGATGTCACACATATAATTAGATGTGCATCTGGAGCTTTATGTAATCGCCACAAACCATTGAGACTAAAGGGAAAGTTCTGTAGGATGGCTGTAAGACCAGCCATACTTTATAGGACGGAATGTTGGGTGATCAAGAAACAACATATCCATAGAATGAACGTAGCTGAGATGAGGATATTGAAATGGACGAGTGGCAAAACAAAAAATGACAGAATTCAGAATGAATACATACGACAAAAGTTAGGTGTGGCTTCAATAAGTGATAAGATGAGGGAAAGTAGACTTAAGTGGACTGCCCATGTGCAGCATTGACCAAATACAACACTAGTAGGAAGTACAATTTAGTTTAAATGGAAGGCTCTAAAAGGGCAAGAAAGAAGGCCCAAAAGGACATGGATAGAAATAATGAGAAAAAATATGATGACTTCTGGTCTTACTGAAGGTATGGCCCTTGATAAAGAAGGATGGAGGAATAGGATTCATGTAGCCGACCCCAAATAATTGGGATAAGGCTTGGATGAGAATGATGATCACATGGCAATACAATAGCCCTTCAGTAAGTACTCATTTGCATGGAATAACTTTGCAATGAAATTTACCTAAAAACAAAGAGGCTCAATGAATGAATGAGTGAGTGTGTGTGTGTATGAGCGTGTGTGTGTGTGTGTGTGTGTGTGAGAAAGAGAGAGAGAGAGAGAGATTTTGTACAAGAGGAAGGCAGGAGAAGTGGTGAATTTGGGGACTTGATGGAGTGAAATCAGCTTTAAAATGGAATGGACTCCATTGGATTTCAAATCTTAATGGGGGTACTTTTTTGGAAAAATAAGCCGAAAAGGTGTTGACTCTTATGGAAGGGTGTAGGTGAACATTTTTTAAAAATCCCTATGCCCCCTAAGAATGGTCTAAGTATTTAACTTACCAGAGGGGACTATAGCTAGAGCCAATGCATTTTGCTCCTCTATTGCAGAAGCGTCAAAATTTGTTGCATTGAGACCCTACAAAAGACAAACAAAATTAGAATATAAAATCAGAAAACAAAAGCATACTAATCATAACGGAAAGAAAAACCGACCAACAAATCTCCAGTGTCCACAGGCACAGGAGGAGGTGGAGCAGGAACACTCTCAGAAGTAGGGGCTACTGGCTGTGGTTCTACCACTGGTGCATTTGTACCATCTGGTTCCTCTATAGATGTATCATCTGGTTTGTAAGTAAGAAGCAATCTTTCTGGGAATTCCTGAATCAATAAAGAAAGTCATTAAACATTTAATTTGCAGCATTGCCGCAATTCCTAATTCAATAAAAAAGTCACCAAACAACCTACATTGTACTTTGCACTTTATCTTGTTCCCCATTGCAACAAAAAATACTATTCCATTCAAACAGTCAAACATAGAACCAACCATATAGAGGGGCATATATGCATCGATTTGGTCCAAATCAAGTTTCAGAAGTAATACAACAATTATCAGAAAGAAATGAAACATTAATTCACACCCTTCAATACCCATTGAAGGTTCTCCGTTTTTTCTTTTTTTTTTAATAGATGATGCCTGTTAAAATATAAGTTCAGATTAACACAAAAAACAAAAAAGGAATGTGACATCCCCATTAATATCCTCAAAAAATAACAATTCAGATTAATCCATAATACGATAATAATAGAACTTCCATGTCCTGAGTATTGAGAATTCAGATTTCAGTACAATAGACAAGAAGAGGGACAGGTGATCTTAGACTAATATAAAACAAAATGAAGAAACACAACATTGCTATCGATATCATTGAAAGGGCACAAGTTCACATTAATTGTAAATATTGATAACACCAGAACTTCGAATCTTAATTGCTCAGATTTCAGATTTTAATAGAATTGACAGGAACAATTGAGCTCTTACCTGCTATTTTTCCTGAATTAAAAATTTAGACATTCAAAACAGAATAAATGACCCCATAGTATAGACAAGAAGAGCAGATAATGAACGTCGGCAATACATTGAGCAAGTAGGCAATGCATGTTTCAAAGTGCTTCAGATTTAATGTAAGTCACATCATTCATAGATTCCATACTAGTAAGCACAGTGTTAAAAGTGCTTCAGATTGAATGTAAGTTACATCATTCATACATTCCATACTAGTAAGCACAGTACAGGCAATGAGAGAGAGGAGAGGGGCGGGTGTTATTTTACGAGTTTTTGGAGTAGAAATACTAGTAAAGTATGACAGAAATCTTTTGGGATTTTTTCAGAGTAGAGGTAACAGTAAAGTTGTTTGAACAGTAGATGCACATGTTGAATATGTTTTGAAATAGAAAATTTTGAAAAGGCACACAACAACCCATTCTGATTCGTGACAAAAGAAGAACAACCATCCTTTCCTCATTTATTGCTCTTAATACAATCTTCCAAGCAAAAACCTTGCAAAATTTAAATATTACATCATTTAACGTTTTAAACACTTAAATACCTTGAAAAAGTAAGGACATCATAGGGAAACAAATTAAACCACGTGTCTTATTCTAACATATCCTCAGCTCTTTCTTTGGCAGGAGTATAATAAAATATATAAATGACCACAAAATAACTAAATCTTGTACAGAACTAATCCAACACATGCCCCTCCAACTCACCTTTTATTATATAGTATAAGGCACATGGAGATAATAGAAGGCTCAGAAAATGAAGAGAAAGTCCAACAGAAATAAATTACCTTGAATGTAGGTACAAATTCAAGGCTATATAGTATGTTACAAGCCTAAAAAACTGCAAGGATTCAACAATGCAAACAAAGGACATATCGTGCCTCTAACATAGCAGAACTAATGTGAAATTCAATGTGAGACATATCAGTGTTATTTAGACGGCAAATGCAATATTGGAAGGCGTGAGAATCCTGACGAAGTATTCCAAGATACATCTATTGTCAATATAAATTCATTTAACATCATTAGGTCCAAGACTTCATCAATATTTTCAACCACAATTGCTGCGATCTCCTACCATAGGTGGTGATCCCACTCTGGAATCTCGGTCCAAAACTTTGAGAAAGGGATCATCAAGGAATCTCAACCTTTAAATTTTGGAATCTTGGGCCCCACTGTTAAGGATCTCGACTCCCACTGATAGGGATATCGATCCCCTCTTAAAGGCCAAGTTAACGACCAAACTTATGATTTTCTTTATTTAGTCAACTAGCATTGCAACTGCACCTTTAACGCAATTGAATTGCTCACTTACTACAAATAAAGAGATCGCTACTTTAAAGAGTACATATAGTCCTAGATTATATATAATTTTTAAGGTAGGGGGTAAGATCTTGATGGAGATCAGAGCACAACTAGCCACGAGTATCTTCTTTTGGAACGACAGATTCCTCCTAATTTTTGCTCATATTTGGAGGATGAGGGGCTTCCAAGAAAAGCAAGAAATAGTTTGGGTGTTTTATTTTAGTTATTTGAGGCGATTTCAGATGTTTTATGTATTTATTTCATTGCTAGAACAGTTAGGAACTTTTTAGATATTTTAATTAAAGTTAGGGAGTTTCGTTTCAAGTTATACTTAAGTCAAAAGTTAAATTGTATAGACAAATATTGTCCAAAACAATAAGTTTTCAATATAAATAAGAGCATGGATGGGCTGCAGAGTCATTCATGTTTTCCTCTTTAAAAAAAAAAAGACTGTCTTGTTAAAGAAGCCTAAGGTTTGAGCCCTAGGTAGGAGAAAACCTTAGGATTTCTCCAAAATTGCGTGTTTCTTGCTGATTTTTCTAGGTTTCTTCAAGTTCTCCTACATCAGATCCCCAAAAGGTCGAGCGATCCCTAACACATGCATTGTACGAATGGCACTCCCAACCATAGGGAACTTCTAGCATTTCATGGTCCCCGCTCTTGATCCCGACATGCTCATCTAGTTAGAACTTATTGATTACATGCACCACTATTAATGTAAGGAACTCCATTAAGAAAAGAAGAAACTAAATTCCATCTGGAATTGGTATGTTTGTACAAGCAATGTTAACTGATGGTTCAAGCAAGTAGACCATCGAATTCAAATGGTCAAATTTGTCTCCTTCCAATCCTTAGCTACCGCAAAGGCCCAACATGGTCGGAATCACTCTTTCTTGAATCGGGATATTGAGCGGACCCCACTCCCATATGGTGGAATACCATTGCAACCCCTAAAGGGATTGCTCATAATTCAGACCCATGTTAGATACATTTATAAGGAAACAAATCTTAAATGCATATTAAACAGAATAGAAAGTAATCAGTCTGCAAAATCATGTTCCATATATTTTCCAAAGGTTAAAGATATGCTTTAATCCATATCTATCAAAAAAAAAAGTCCTAAATGCATGTCAATAAAAAGTAAAAAGACATTGATTCAACTACTTTTGCAGTATTTCTTTTTGAAAAAGGATGCCAAAATCCAATTTAATTAAAATAGAAGTCCTGAATGCAATGATTTCACGTTTGCGTTAAAGGAAGGGATGGTGGTTCCAAGTTTAGCAACTTTCACATTTGCAATGGTCTCATATACTTCTCTCTATATTCTCTTTCATACTTCTCTCTATATTCTCTTTCTATCAATTCTTTAATTTGCTTTTTTTTTTTAATTTATGATATAGGAAATTTGAAGAACAGAAAATCAACGAATATTTCAGGCCAACACAAGCAATCTGTTGGAGAAACAAGCAATCTGTTGAGAAACTTGAGTGTGCTCCTACACAAAAACCCTAACCAGGATTCCAGAGCAAAGCTCTCATCGTTCTTTATTTCATGAGCATGTCCATCTCCTTACAACCCTCTTGTATTCTAATAAAAACCTTATTTAGATAGCAAGAAATCTCAGCTCTTGTTAAAATAGAAGTCCTAATCAAAAAAAAATTTGCAATGATATTTTTACCCCTGATGAACTAAACAAATCCGTAAGTACTCTAACTATTTTTGCAAACAGCTCCAAAAAATCCTAAAAAAAAATAAAAAGCCCTTAATTCCATTAAAAAAATTTAAAACCCAGAAAAATAAACCCTGAAAATCCCCAAAAAACACATCCTTGAAGTTTAAACAAAGAATTAAAAAATACACAGCATTTGCTCTTGTGCTCCCCCAGTTGGAGAAAACGCATCCTTGAGTTTTGAAATTGGCTAAGATGAACCTGCGCTAAAATCATTAGCTTCTTGACCTTGAACATTGTGCCTTCAATCTGGACCTGTAACTTATTGGCCCAACAAAATAGAGCCATTGCGCATTGAGACACAATCTTTGCAATCAAGTGATATACTCATGAACTCTTTAGAGAAAACATCCCAAAAAGAGTGTGTATTTCGATGGAGAAGCTATGATACATACACTTGGTTCAACCTAAGAACAAATCAAGAGAGTATCTTCATGATGAGCACTAAGATTAAATGCCTGGATTAGCAACCTCACCTATTGATTCTCCTTGGAGTTCTTCATCTCGTTGTTCTCCATAGATATTACCCACCAAATCATCACCAACAATAGGACACTCATCAAAGATAGGATCACTATCAAAAACAAGATCACTAACTCCATCAAAAGGTTCCTCATCAAACATTAGATCAACCACAGAATCATGACGATCATCAAGAATTCGAGAAGAAATTCCCTTTTATTTTTATGAAGTTCATGGTAACCAAAAGCCCTCTCCACTGGATTTTAACCAATCAATAAATTCTCCGAGTTGAGGCTTACCAGCAAACGGGAATATCAACCTTCATATCAAAAACTAAACTGATGCCTTCCATGTCTAGGCCTTCCTTCACTTTCCTCTTCCCACGATTTCCCACACAGAGTATGGCAGAGAAAAGAGGTTGTACCCAACATCTTCTTTGGTGGAATGATCACCATCTTGCCCATCAGTGATGCATGCAAGCTACTGTGTAAACTGCTGAACCTGACTCCTGAGGTCTTCAATCTCCTGATCTCTGAGATCACAGGTAGGTTTATGAGACCCCCCCCTTCCACGACCTCTTCTAGCTATAGGTTCACCAAAATCACAAACCCAAGGCAGAAAATCATCAAACCCTGGCTGAAATCGACAAGTTCTAGGCTGAAATTAGCACAACCTGAGCTAATTTCAGTAGACCCTGGACTCGACCAAAGATTTCCGCGCTCTTGCGGCTCAATAATCATGTGCTCTGATACCAAATTGATGTAGGAAATTTGAAGAACAAAAAATCAGCATTTCTTTTTATGCTGTTAATTGTTGTGTT